CACTTTGCGATTATTCAAGTGACAGAAAAGTTTCTAACACATGCTACAAATGTTCAGAGCCTGTATGCAAACAGCATAGTGTGAAACGCGTTTTTTGTATTAATTGTTCTAAATAAACAAAACCTATCAGTTTAGTCATTTTTGATTGACTAATACTTAGAAACAACTCAGTTTTAACCAGATGCTTGTTGAAAAGAGAAAAAGAATATCTTTCTCAAAATGCATTCTATTTTTATCGCTAAAAATAGGCTTGGGAGTACTAGGGTTAAAATATGGATCCTAAAACTATTTCTTTTCAGGAAGAAAATACTAAAAAAAATTAACTTTGTCATCGTCATTGTTTTTGTTCATATTCATCGTCGTCTTTTGTATCCTCAACATTATGTATTGATCTTGAATATAAAGATAACTTTTGTATAAAATATCATCATTACCCTTTGAGTTTAATGTAAGGAAAACTTTTGTTTAACGTAGGCATTTGAATACAATGTTTCAGACTTTTACTTCACTTCTGTGTATTATATAGAATTTATATTATATACAGTTTAGGAATCCATATTTTATTAAAGTAGGAACTACAAACGCATTTTCCAAACTGAGATCACTTTCCAAAATTGCTAGAATATGCCATTTCCAAACTGAGATCATTTTTATTTCTTTAATTATAAAAAGCGATCTCAATTAAGAATGAGCCGTTTCTTTTTATATGTAAGCCTCTTCTTATTCTTTCTTCAAACATAATGTCAGCAACACTTATTATTCATTCAACACATAAATTGCTAAAAGTTTTGTTTTATAGCAAATTATTTTTCTTTTTCATCAATAGAAATCTGCGCGTAAATAATCTTTCTTACAATAGAATCCAAACATTTCTATATATACATGTTAACGGCTTGTCCAAGCGTGGCGCTGTGACATTTTTGACACAGTAATCTGAGCTTTTCCCAAAAAGTGTAACAGCTAGAAACTTCGTTCCTGCGTCATTCGACGCAGCTCGCCATACTCTTCTTCTGGTATAATATACTGCCACACCTGATTACATATATCCTTCAGCTTTTTCGATTCATTAATTCAAAAATATTTTCTGCAGTAGATCACCATTCTCTATATTCAAGAAAAACATGCTATAGGGAAGCTCTATGATGAAAAGGACTATTAAAAGAAAGAGAAAAAAAATATGTTTGTCTTTCTGTCTTTTCAGATAATAGACAAAAATTTCTTTTTTTCTCCTTCTTTATACTTTAACAGTTTTTGCCGTACTCCAAAGAGTATGCAAACAAATATTGAGGATTTCTTTTGGTTATGAGGCAACGAAAACAGTATATAGAAATACTTTTCTTTTCTACGCAGGCGACAAATGTATTTTACTTCAAGGTGAAAATTTTATATTGTTGTTGGCAAATACTCGTGCGTGCGTGTGTGTGTGTGTAAGACGAATTTCTAAATAATCTTTCGTAAATAATTATTTTGAGCCAGGCTTTTGACACATTGTTGTCGTTTTTATATCGGGAGATTTTATCATCAATAGGCATATAGTTCCGAAGGAAGCATCTTTTATCATAAATAGCCTGTTTTATGATTTACAACAAAACCGTTTTAGTTCGCCTTATAGAGAACTACAGTATTCCGATCCGTAGAAGTGGGGAAGTTAAATAAATTTATTAGAGTTAGTTTTACTGGTCGAGGAAACATGCGCGACAAAATTACCAGTACTCTCCCACAATTTATCAGTTTATGTCCAATGAATGCCATCATTTCTGTTTAGAATGACGTCAAATTATTACATTTCAACTGATCGTGTGGCTAGTAGTGGTGGCAGTTCGATGGATCTATTAACATGTTCAATTTGTCATAATCTTCTATGGAAACCTGTTGCATGTAAAACATGTGAAAACTCATTTTGTTTATCCTGTATGGACCAATGGTTGGAAACAAGTAATGGTAAGACATGTCCAAATCAATGTCAATATGAACAACGTAAATGTCCTCCGTTAATGCTACAATTGCTATCAAAATTAAAAATTAAATGTCAATGTCAAAAAAATGGTTGTCAACACATTCTAGGTTATGAGCAACTAGAACTGCATGAATCCACTTGTGATTATCAACTAAAACGATGCTCAGGATGTCAGCAAAACTTTTTGAAACGAGATCATTTTCAACACGAGCAACAATGTGGACAAATCAAAGTGACCTGTGAACGATGTCAAACCGTTTATGAGCGAGAACAGACTCATGATCAGATTCAATGTTTAAATAAACGTCAAGACAACATGCAGAAAGAAATCAATTTATTGAAACTACAAAACATGGCAAATGAGCGAACAATTCAACAATTACAAACTGAATTAAGTCAAGTCAAATCAAAACAAACAACCATGAATGCTCCTTTTCAACTTTCACCACAACCTGCATTTTTTCCACGTCCTCACCCTCCTGCATCTTTTCAACGTCCACTATCTTCTGTATTTATACCTTCTCCAATCAACCACCTACAAAATCGTTTTAGTTCACATTAAAGAGAACTATCGTAGGCCGATCCATAGAAGTGAGGAAGTTAAAATAAATTTACTAGAGTTAGTTTTACTGGTCGAGGAAAAATGCGCGACAAAATTACCAGTACTCTCCCACAATTTATCAGTTTATGTCCAATGAATGCCATCATTTCTGTTTAGAATGACGTCAAATTATTAAATTTCAACTCATCGTGTGGCTAGTAGTGGTGGCCGTTGGATGGATCTATTAAGTGTTCACGAACATACTTGATGTGGGCGCAGGAGTAGCTGAGAACTATGAAAGAAGTTCATTGGGATAAAAATATTTTTTAAAATAATTTAAGTTAAAAACTTCTTGGGTAGTACTTGATCTGAAGGCGGAAAGTATACCCATGCAGAAATTGCAAAAGTTTTTTTGCGTGGTCACGAAAAACAAGTGCAATAGCATAAGTGGCGTAACGTCAAAAATAGCTAGCTACAAAAGCGAAATTCTGCCAAATTTTGCATATTCTTCTAGAACAAATATTCATAAAAAATTGTGTCTTAAAACAAAATATTTACAAAATTCTGTATTAGTCGAACTAATGCAGAATTTTGCAAATATTTTGTTCTAGAAGAATATGCAGAATTTGGCAGAATTTCGCTTTTGTAGCTAGCTATTTTTGACGTTACGCCACTTATGCTGTTGCACTTGTTTTTCGTGACCACGCAAAAAAACTTTTGCAATTTGTACATGGGTATACTTTCCGCCTTCAGATCAAGTACTACCCAAGAAGTTTTTAACTTAAATTATTTTAAAAAATATTTTTATCTTTCATAGTTCTCAGCTACTCTAGCGCCCACATCAAGTACGTTCGTGAACATTTTAGCCAGGTGTTCCTACCATTGCAAAAAATTAGTTATTCACTGTCCGAAAAGACAAGTAGGGTTACCTTAGAGACATGTACAATAGTCAGTGGTAAAATAGCTCAGTTTGGTTTATTTGACAGTCATCGTCTTTGTTTTTTCTTTAAAATTGTGAATAAAATATATGATTTGAATGACCTATTGACACCAGCGAATACCTGTACCTATTACGAAAATCAATGGGGTGTTTTACACCTGCTCATCATCAAGAGATTGTACTTTTAAAATTAAAGGTTTCCTTTTTATTCGTTATTCACAAAAAGATATTTTTTCATTCTAGAATAATGCAAAAGCAAAACGGATCACCGTTTTTTTCTTATTATTTACAGTTTACATTATTAGGTGCCGAGTATACTTTAATTCCGTAAATTTATTTAAACGAACGTTTTAGAATAATCTGCTGCTCACAGCAAGTTACATTATATGTGACAAAATTCAACGGTCATCGATGATCACCGTATCTAAGTGCGGAACACGATTGTAAACTTTTGGCACTTCTGAGACTTTGTAATTGCACGAATGTATGTTGAAATGAGAAGATGGGTAGGGAGTAGTGTAGAGGATACATTTATCGTTCATAATTATCACTATCAGTTGGCGTTAAGGAAACGCAGTTTTTGAAGTAGACTGAAGCTCATGTTCATACTGCCGGAATAGTTTAACATAGAAACGAAACTGACGGAGAGAGACGAGGGATGAGAGCATTGAGTGTCATGTTTCACTGTTGATATGATGAAGGTCAGATGAATCTGAGTAGCCCTATGAGTAGGAATAGGATAGAGTTTTTAAATTTGTAAGAGACTTAAGGAACGGCGAGACATCTGACATTGGTGCACTGCTTAGTTTCAGTTCTACATGGGCTAAATTCTTACAGGATAAAGTGATTTTTGTCTTGTCTAACATCGAAGAACAACTAGAATTTTGGATGCTACTAATCAGACGTTTTAACACGGGAGAGAGCTTAACACTATGCACAGTGCTCTTATGTCACTTAACGTTATGTTCAGTTCTTCCAGTTTCAAGAATAAAGGTACAATGTCACTAATCGTTAGAGTAAAACCTAATATATGACAAGTTCTCAGCGGTCGAGGAAGTTTATCGAACGATAGTTTCAAATTTGTGGTCGATGTAATCGAAAGTTTTTCTAGCCGTTTCGCACCATCTGATTAGAGTAAAGTTTTTACTTGATTGAGAATTGGCTCGATTAACGTCAAGGCTTGCAGGTGTTGTTGGCCGAAGTTTAAGTCTGAACAAGATAGAAATAAACCGATAGAACCCAACGTCTGTTTATTAGAGAGTGTGAGGCAAGAGGTCGACTGAAATTGTGGTAGCAGTGACTGACAGCTGACAGCAAGATTTAAACTTTTGCTGTGAAACATTTGTTCCAATAAAGACGCCTAGTGTGAATGGTTGAATTGATTCATGTGTGAGCTCAGAAAAACAATCGATAATGTCAATGGCTGATGAATAATCGAATAGTTCTAAGAAAAGTCATCGGGAAGTGCTTCTACTATATTCATTTTCTGTCGATTAACCCAAAAAATTCAAGATAAACTAAATGGAAAAAAGTTAAAGTTTAGATAAATTTGAGATATTTTTAAAAGTTTCTTCGTTTGATATGAGATGGTGCGAAGATATTTTGATACGCTTTTCACGTCAGTGTAACGCTTTTTTTCGATCGTAAGTATATGGTAAGAGTGCGTGTAGCTATGACAGACTCAGTAGATTCAAAAACAGTTTCTCCGATTTTCTCCAAACAAAGTCAGAAACTGAAAGAAAGGAAGCCGCATTTTTAAGTCGATTTGTTTGAATTATACATCGTTAATTGACAACGGATTCCCGTCAAACTTTGGTGAAAAAAATGCACTCACTGAATTTAAAGGTCAGCATTTCTAAATATGTCCGGAATGAGACGATTGAGTTTTATTTTGAACAAGCAAATATTGGAGCCGCAAGAAAGAAAGAGAAGAGAGGAGGTATTTTATACTATTATAAATCAAACCTCTATAAATAACATACTATGTAATAATAAACAGACAATAATAACCATTAATGTAGTAAAAAAGAGATCAGAAAGGGGAGTAGAAGAACTAGTTACTTGCTTGTTATAGTATATGTACACATAGTGTGTTGCACACAGTGATGAGAAAAAAAGCAGAAAAGCTTTGCTTGTTTTAGTATTTCTTCTCTGTTTCTCGTTTTCTATAGGATTTTCTCGGTTCACATAGAAGTAAAACGACTATGGAGATGAACTAACTCTGGCTTTGTTCTGGTAGTATTTTCTTCTTTTTTTTAGTACACGACAGATAGATTTAGAGACAGAAGGAGAGAACGAGAAAATTAAATCTACAGATGTCTTATGTAATATAGCTAAAATATTAGAAGGAGACATAAAAGAACTATGCTGTTTCTAGAGGAATATGGACACAAGAATTCTGGAATCACAGTTTTATTATCAAGTTGTTATTATCGGATGAGATGCGCACAAAAGCAGATAAACATATGGTTTCGACTAAAAAGTCGATCGTTTAAAAAAAAGCATTCAGACCAGTTAACTGATCTGTCTAACCATCAGGTTATCATAATAAATATAACCATCTGTATTCGACTTCCATTCATCACCTTTTCCGCCTCGAAATCTAAAATTGTAGAAAGAGTAACGGTACAGGTAGTGCTAAGCTAATCAGCTCACTCTTTATCAGCAAACTTACGAATGAAATGACAAATTATTAATTAGCCGTTTACTATCATTTGTCGTCCAACGGATATCTTGATCAATCAGCGTCACTCCATTAATTTTCACTTGTACACGGCCATTCTTATTCGAGCCAGTGTTTGATTTAACGTACATATGAACTTTATACCATTTACCTTTTTCAATGCTTCCTAAAGATGGATAAACCAAACACTCGCTGCCGGTTATTGAAACACTTGCGCAAATTTCTTACCTCCTGAGGGATATGACTTTCCGAAATTATCTCCACACGGACCTGGCATGTCTTTGTGATAGAGATACGGATGAAAATACACTCGTTTCGTGGACGGATTGTTGTACCACATCAGCCGTAGTGTTCCACCATTTCCATCTGTTGCAACATTACAACCTGTGTTCCCGTTTCCAAGACCAAATCCAAAGCCAACTTTGCCACCGCGACTCCAGTCGAACTGACTGTGGAACTTCACATCGAAGTCAAGCTCATAAGCACTACCATCTGTCAACTTCGTATTCGAAATGAGTCCACCTGCACCGGACAGTGCATTCTTCTGCAATGTGATACGTAGTGTACCACTTGAAGTCATTGCACGTTGATTTTGCCACCCAGTCACAGAACCGAAATCTGATTTAGCAGCAGAATTTGAATATTCACCATTCTGGTATTTATCCCAGTTGATCGATTTGTAGTATGCAGCATGAATTGATGCTACTAAGAGAGAAGTACAAACCGCTTTTTATCTCTGTAGACACTCTTCTTCTTCTTGCTCTCTAATTACCAACACTAAACAATAGGACCGCTAAAACTACTAGTTTCGACATTCTTTTGCTTCTTTTAGAATGAGGCACTGCACACACACCTATCTTATAACAATCAAACAAGTAATTAAAAAAAATTGTCTAATCTCCAATTATTATAAAGCACACAGATACACCGAGAAAAATAAAACCTTTTCAGTATGAAAACACTTAAAAAACGTCAACAAAGTACAATCATTCTCTACTAGTACATTGTTTTACCACTTTCAGTTTTCGACTTTGTTAAGCTTTAAATAAACCTTAAATGACGACTCTGTAGACGTACATTGCGTAATCAACCTTGAAATGGTTTACAGAAGTGTTGTTGCTGTTGTTGATTATTGTTAATATTGCGCAAACGATCATACCCTTCGAGAAAAAAGTGTCCGTCAGAAGAAAAGATTATTTCAGAAGTTATAATAGACGTTTTCAACGGTTTCGACCGTCCACAGAAGTGTAGAGACGACGTTTCAACCTAGAATTAAGATTGCAAAATCCATTAACTCTGAACTTCTTTTTTTCTAAGCTGTAAGACGCTCGTGGGTCAAACTCAGAGTGAAATTTCTTTTTGACTTTATTATACACATTCTGAATCGCCAGGTCGAGTTGATCACGAATATCACCTTTTTAGTTCGAAAAAAATGGGATCTTGATAGAGAAAAATGCGAAATACTGAGACGAGGTCGAAAAAGCTAAAAACTATTCTTTTTCAGAAATGGTTCACAATTTTTTCCCTTTACGTTTTTACTTATTCTCATTAATATTTGCAAATTCTACGTTGAAAACTGATTCTAGAGAGGTCTCTTTCAATGACGTTTGGTCAAAACTGAAATTTTGGCTGAGCTCAGAACTGGCTAAGCTCAGCGGTCGATACCCTCAGCTTGCAAACCCATCTAGTTTTTTGGGTTAAGGGATAGGTCCCCCATTCACATACTGTTAGATAGCCCAAGTGATAAGCTTTAAAAGTACGGAGAGATTGTTTCGAAAATGTTTTTTCCTTACCGGAAAAAACGCCTTTTGCCGAAACGGAAGGAAAAACGGCCAGGCCGTCTTTAGCTGACTTATTCATTATCGACTCAAAAATGATAAAAATAAATCCTTATAGGTTCTTAGGCGCCAGGAATTCGATAGACGTGCTTCCGGACACGATGGAGGACTTCCAGAGGGTTTTCGAGAAGTTTCGA